GTAATATCTGCAGATGAGTGCTTCAATTTGAAAGGAACAAAGGACTAAAGGTGCTCAAAATGAGGGTGAGGCATTTAGCCACAAGTTGTTTAACAGGATATTTTAAAAGTGCTTCCCTTCCAGTAATTTCCCTTGCAGTGCCTCTCTCTGAGCTGGCTCTTTGTGCCTCAGTCAGCACTGCTATGAAAGTACATGCTGCATTTCAAACTACAGCAATTGTAGGTGTATGAAAGGCTGCTCGAGTTTACCTAGATCAGGTACCAACAGCATAAAGATGAGAATAATACGGGCTTTAGCTTGTGCTTTGTAAGTCTGCCAGGATCTCATGCATGTAGCCAGGCAATAAGTTTGCAATGAGGTCTGTGCTATCACAGTGTCACTTCTACTAGAACCTGGGAAACCTGTTTTGAGACGAATATGTATGCTATTATCACACCTACCAGCCCCTGCTCCAGGAGAAAATGTCATTTAAGCCAAGTTATGAAATCCAGACTAACATAAACCAGGTCAGAGAAGACCTGCAACCTCCATTTTCATCGGTAGCCTCCTGCCCTGTTTTTAACTTGCTCTTTTTAGGAGGCTGTGTCTCCAATGACCAACTGTGCTACTACTGAATCTTTGCAAATGTGGCCTCGGTTGAAGAAGAGGCTTACACCTATTCTCTAAATCCAGGGCTTTGAATTTCACTTGGGATCAAATGGCAATCAATGCAGGTCAAAGGCTGGCTTTTCTTCACACTTTTAGCAAGAAATGCTGTTCAGTGAAAAATCAGCGTGTCAGACATCTCTTCAGTGTGAATACAAAGGGACAGTTGTTAGAGCATTTCCAACTTGACGGAGATAGCTCTTGCCCAAAAACGCTATTCAGCTTTTGTGCAAAGAGCAGTTCTCAGCTCAAAATGTTCCCCAAATTCCATTCTCAATTTCCTGACTCTCTGTAATTGATATGTAGGGCTCTATATCAAATAAACTCACACAGATTCATAACTACATATTACTTCGATACTTTAATCCACATTTATCTTGTGTTTTTACATCAAATACTTACCAATTTAATTTTTTGCTTGTGTTCTCTGTCTAGTTTAAAGCCTTATAGAGTGGAAAACAATGGCACTGATATCTTTCTGTCCTTCACATAACTATAACACTTCTGGTTGTGGAAACCTATGACTAACACTGCCATTATAATACTGAATTAATCTTAAAATAGGTATAGAGAACTTACAGCAACTACAGCTTTGGAGAAAGAAAAGGAAAAAACTTTCACTGGCCTGAACAGTGGCAACGAAAATCCCCCAGCAACCACTCATGGCAGTGGTAAATCACCTAGTGCCACTATCATTCAGTACATATAGAAGGTATTTCAGTTTGAAAGAAAAAATGTTAGTAAATTCTTAACAACTATGGAAAAACAAAGACAATTAATATAGTTCTGAGCAAAGAAGAACCTTCTTCATGTGTTTCTCTCTGCAACGCTCTCACTGAATTGTAGCTGCCTCTTGATCTCACCACCTATGAGCAGTGCAATCATACTGTCTTATGTCTCAACTGGCAAATTCCCTGGTCCCTGCTCTACGAACAACCAGATTGTTTTCACCACAGCTGGCCACCAAAGTCTATGCTTGGTTTATTTTTTCTTCATTAATCACAGGAGCATTAAAAAAGATTAACTAGGGAAAAAAAAAATCATTAGAATTCCTCTATATCGCAAAACCACAGAAAAAAATAGGTATCAAGTAACAATGTAATAGGAATTAGTGCTTCATTCCACTTTCCTCTGCACAAAACATAAACTTCACTTTCACTAAGAAAGCCTGAGGCAATATGAAACTGTGAGGTCAAAACTACTACCTGCAAATAAAGAGCAACAAATATATTGTCTGCTCTGTGTGAACCTTAAATCCTTTGGGGTTTCAGTTCAGTGTTTGATTCAGTCTTTCTCCTCTTAGCTCACCTCTGTGAAGATCAGCAGAAACTGACAAAATAAAGGTGTCACCAACATTGACAAGAGAAGAGCAGTACTGGGACTCTGCTCTTCTTTCCTCTACACCCTATGATAGGGCAGGAAGATAAAAGGTCACTGAAGAGGACAAGAGACTCTTATTGCTTTATCAATCTCAGTGGGATAAAAAGGAAAAACAAATATCAGAATTCCCTCTAAAACACATGGAAACATCATGGAAGAGAAATACAGCAGAGAAGTCTCAAGGGAGACTAAAAGGACAGAGACATTTCTATCTGCCCTTCTTCATTACTCATGGCATAATGTCTTTCCCATTGCTTATACAATGTGATAAGAAAAAGTAAATCATAAACAGATGGACATCTTCTTTATCTTCAAGCCTTGCCTGTTCAGAATATGGGTGTCCAACAACTGGTCCAGAAAGTGAATCTGACCCAGAATGTGCCTTGAAGATAATGAGCTGCATTATGGAGTGATTAAGTATTTTGTTTAGCTTTGGACAGGAGAGGTAAGTGTAGGTATGGCTGAACTGACTGGCAGGGAAACACAGTTATCTTTGGCACTTGGGACTCAAACGGCTCTGCCCGTCCAACTCTGAATATGAACATCATCAGTGATTAGACATCAGTCACTTGAAAAAGGCATCACTCTGGCAGCTTGAAAAGTAGCTTGTTTGAAACAGCATTAATCTCAAATACCCTGGATCTTTAGAGGAATATTCTATGCATCAGTGCCTAGAACTTCTGCATGTGCTATCAGTCAGCAGTTACTGTTGCACTTATCAGGAAAGACCCACAATGAAATGCAACAGCAAATACCAGGATAAAAATAGAAAAAAAAAAAAAATAAGCAAAAAACAGGAACAGAACGGCAGTAAGACATTCTGGCTGTTCACCTGGAGGAAACTAAATTTCATCATCAAGCTAAAAAATGTGCTCAAAAATGCAAAGAAAGGGAAGTATGTCATACATGGGAAATCAGCTTGGTGGCATAGTGTCAAGAAACATCAGAAGATGCAGGTCACTGAATGTCTGGGTGAGGGGGGATGTTATTCATACAACACAAGGACCAGTCTCCAGCCAGTTATACTAGATCTGGCCATCTTTTCTGTGCTACTTTCCTCTCATATACACACAACTTAAAGTTAAGTGACTGAAAACATGGAGGAAAATTGAAGAGGGCAGAAGGCAGAGCCCGAAAGGAGGAGTTTCACCACCCAGATCCAGATACCATGTCCCAGCCCTGAAGGAGTTACCTGGTACCTGGGTACTCCTGAAGTACTGGGCAGCCCTGGTCTCCAACAAAGTCAGCTGGACTTTTCAGCACCATTGTCAAAAAAACAAACCAAACAAGCAAAACTCATCAGTCTTTTACAGCTGCTTCCCTCTTCATGGCTTGTTCTGAATTTTTTACTTTTTTTTTTTTTTCCAGAAGAGTGAATTTAAATTATTTGACATCTCAGTGGTAATGTGGCTTCAATACTCCAATTACAAAAGGTGACAACTACAAAAAAATTTTAAAAAAACCCCATCTAATCACTTAACATTCACATCATTGAACTGCTTCATGAAGTGCTACACAAAAGCTAAATATTGTTAGAAATCTCTTGGGTTTGTTTATCCTGTCAGCACTCCTTTCCAATAAAGCACTGGCAAAATTTGCAGCCGCCGCTCATAACAGTAATAGGAACATAATAGTGCAGTTTGTAGCAGAATATTAAAATTGATGGAGTTTTCAGTTTCACTTTATACAATTATCCCAGCAACAACATCAAGCATACTGAAATCACACCATCAATCAGAAAATTCACATTTGGGACAGCAAAGCATTGAAATGTTTGTTGGACCCCTGGTATTTCAATGCAACTGCACTTAACACGGCTGGCTAGAGAATGTATAAATCAGTTTCTCCACAAAACTCTCAAGTCATAGGTGCCAAATACAAATATTTTTCTCATAATCCCATCCTTGATCTTTTCATGTTATTATTGGACTTCATATTCTTAGCTACGTTGTTGCTAAAATAAGTTGCTCTTTTTTTCCTATTAAATTTTCCAAACCCACTGCTGGAATGAATTTGTATTATCCTCTTACTAGGAGAATTCCTGTAACATTCCCATTGACCTAATTGCAGTTTTTGGCTTGAAAAGATGACACGTTTGTGTGAATCTGGTAAAGCTGTTGAAGCAGGGATGCTAGAAATGAAGTATCCTTCTGGCCCCTTTCATCAAGCTCCAGACTGAATCCCCTTAGGAATGTGATGGCATTTCTTCTCTGCTTTTTTCTAAAATCCTATTCTAAGCTGCTTAAAAAAATAGAAAAAAAAAAAATCCAAAATCTCACTGAAATAGCCCAGAAACTTAAGACAGCTGGAAAGATGAAAGAGTGATAATGTTTAGATGCAAACCAAGTGACGTGTTCCAGCAACTGGCAAGGACTAAATCCTGTCACAGAAATGTACATTATTTCAGCTGTCAATCAAGAATACAGTGTCACTAGGGAAATGTCTGAAACTACAACATAATTACATTGTTTAAAGTCTCTATTTGGAAAGCACTATCATTACTTAGAGAAAAAATGAATTTTCATATTTATACACCCTCAGTGTGGTACATAATTACAGGACAAATCTGATTGTTTAGAGATAGTTTAAAGCCTTGGTGGGTACCATATGACATCATTAGGCAAGCAGATCAAATGCCACAATGCTATGTGACAAACACAAGCAATACTGTGCCCTGTATTATACACAGAACACAGCTTGCAGAGCCTCCAACCCAAAGCAGCTCTTGCTTTTGCCCCTGCTGCAGATGAAGTTCACCCTGGGCAAAGTCTGATCTTTATGGCAGACACATTTGACCTATAGCTTTTAATCTGGTGAGATCCTTGGATGTGTCCACAATCCTGTCTAAAGTCCTGGTTCAGGAGCACGTACGTAACTGTGGGCCCGCCGTGTCAGTGTGCTGTGTTCCCAGCCTATCTCTGGGTGTAATGCACAAACGCAATCTCCAAGCTACTGTCACCGTAACGCGTCCTTACCTGCACAGATCTTCCCATCGTAGGTCTCACACACCCAGTCGTGGCACTCACAGAGCGGCCCGTAGTATTTGCCCAACTCGGTGACCTGGCAGATGCAGACCCCACACTCACATCTGCCTCTGTCACTGCACAGCTTCCCCCCCGGGACGCGGCACCGGAGCTCCGACTCCGCCCGGGACAGGCGGCACGGCGGCGGGCGGCTCACGCCGCTCCTGCAGAGGACAGCAAGCACAGCAAGCTGTGGTCAAAGCCGGGGGCTGCAGCTCAGGGCTGCTGAGAGCTTGGCTCATGGGAAACCACACTCCTGCCATGGCTTCAGCCAACCCCCAGAATGCTTTAATGCCATCATTTTAGTTATGGTTGTAAACCACGACCGGCCTCAAATCACTGTTTTCTTCTCTTTCATCAGAACTCCTATTGCTATGTGCAGGAATGCCTGTATTATATTTTACTCTTTCTGTCACCTGCATAGGCTCATCTTTTTCATTATGCCTACCTGGTGTATATAAATATATATGTACAGTTTGATTATCTATCATGAAACTTTTGATCTGAATTATTCCAAAAGATCTGGCAAAGATGTATACATCCAAGCATGTAGGATATGAAAAAGCAAACCTATGTTTGATTCTTCTAAAAGACATTAAATAAAAATTAATCCTTCTGGTTGTCAGATATATAGGATCCATGCTCTCATTGGAAAAGGAAAACAAAATACTTAGTGCCTTCAATGCCATAGTGTAGTCTGTGGGCTGTGGTTTTAGCAAAGTCAGCAGAATCCAGATGCTAGACCTAAAGATCTGCAGCTCTGCCATGCAATTGTGTGATGCATTGGAGCACACAGAGATCAGGACTTTCAGGACATGGAGAGGGAAAACCATGTGTTGCCTCATCAGGATTCAACAAAGGACTGGCCAAGCCCAAAGTAGGTGTTCACACTGCCAGGGAACACTGAGGGTTCAGGTGACTAGGACCTGCCCTTCTCAGGCACCACATTTTGCAGGCAGAGGAGCTGCTGGGTCTTGGAGCAGGCAGGCGCTGGCCTGTTGGAGGGGGAGACCAAAGGGCACCTGCTGCTGCATCAAAGAGCAGGAACACACAGGGGGGTGTGGTGGGGTGCCTGCTCCGCTCAGGCAGCAGAATTTAGAGGTCAGGGCGTAAAGAGTCGTCACTATCCAGCCCTCCCCCCGTGACTGCGTTAGAAGTCCGCATCTTGAGCACGAAACACACCATCGCGCCAAGCCCCGGCAGTCTGCACAACACCGATCTCGGTTCCCAGCACGGATTTAGGTTCCGCTTTTAGGACCCCGAGCACTTCCCTCGGTGTCCCTTTTCAAGCTGGCAGAAGAGCTCGGAAG